TACAGTATAGTGCAGTGCTACAGGTCTGGGTGCGATCCCAGAACCATGGTTCAGCCGCGGGAAGCTGGAGGCCTTCCCGTCGCGCCCTTCGGTAGTTTAGTTTAGGGGGGGGCGAGCTGGACCCGCTAAGTCAACGGGGACTTGGAAGAATGAAATGAACCCTCCCTCTCGATTTCTGTTTTTCTCCCTCCGACTTTCTCCTCCTTCTTTGTGGTTCTATGAGAGACTTGGATAATGATTCGTGTTGTTCTCGGCTTGGCACCCCGTTCATTGTCGTCTCGTATCGGTCTGGTCTCAGTCTGCCAAAGCCCAACTGACTGATCGTAAAGAACTCAGCGGTGTTTCGTTTGCTCGCTGGACCACGAGTTGGTCCGAATGGGAAGACCATTTACGGTAACTAATGACAACTACCACAGTATACGCCTGTGCGTCTCGGTCGGGGATGAGGATCGGCATGCTGGCTAGTGAAGAAAATCATTTCTGTCCCAGCATTTGTTCATTTATCCCTGACCCAAAATCCCACTCCCAAGAAAATCAGCAATCATATCCAAGACAACACAACCGTCCGATCACGAGATTACATGACACCTCATCCGTGACCCGACCCTCCAAAATGTATCGGTTCCAACACCACCACTAATCCGGCATCTCCACCCTAGAGCTGAGCCGGCCGAGCCGTTGGCATACAACCATCCCACTGTCCTACTCGTATATACCCCCCCAAAAATGAGACCTTCGAAGTCTTGAAGCGGAATCTACCGAAGGGTGCCATCAGCACCTCGGTTTTACCCGAAGCTACCCATACGGTAGGCTCCCAAGCTCTACTCTCAAAGCACCAGATAGACCGACGACCCATGGGGTCTTGGGTCCTATCCTGTTTCGGGATTTTTTATGTTGTTGCATGAGCAGCAGTGAGAAAACGTATCCTTTACCTACTTCTCTTGATTTCGCCGATCCGACAGCTATGTCTATGATACCGGGACTGAACCATAGAAAAGGCACGCGCAGCAGAAGTTGTAGAAGGACACACGTGTACAAGTACCATCGTCTCACTATCATCAGTTACACTTCTAGGTAGAAGATCACGATAATCTTAATTCATCGCCTCCTGAGCTGGATTCAATTCGTTGCATTGCAACTAGGCTAAACTTAAAATGGGCATTGGGTATTTTTCTCTGGAGCTCGTGGGGGATTAGCATCGTTGCATGGTCGTTGGGGTCGTGTGATTGGTTGATCTATATACACCTTCCGGGATTCCGGGGGGCTTCTAAGAAGAGCCGCGAAGGTTTATCGATGAATTAGGAAAAAGTCGGGGTTGAGGAGAAGTGGTGGGGTCAGATAGATGAGGTCCAGTCTAGCGTGGCCGGGTCGATGATGTGCGGATTTGATACGCAGGGATTCGAAGGGGTTGTCGAACCGATATCCGCGGGTTTTGGCACATCTTCACTCATCAGCGTAGTAGAGTTGGGGGTGGTAGCGACGCTGTAGGAGGTGGATTGGCTTTGCCCGTCAAATTGCGGGTGCGCTGGCGAGGCCTTTGACTGGGTGCGTTTGATCACGAGACTGCATGCGACGTTGGAGGACAAGCCTGTGTGGGAATTGGACTTTCCGTCCGCAAGTGTTGGCCTCGCGTGCAGACAGCATAAGGCGAGGAGAGGAGTAGGGATGTTTCCCGTAAAATGCTCAGTATTCTTTGCTGATCGCACTCAGAGAATGTGCCAGCTTCAGAAGAACAACGCTCTCCGTAGCGGCATAATAGTTCAAGCTGCAAGCAGATGTCAGTAATCGCCACATCTCTTTTACTTTGATACTCACCTGTCCATCAAGATCCGCAAATGTCGGCTGAAATGGTCCTCGACTCGTTTAAGCGACTCGTCAATCTTGTCAACTCGCGTGGGATCGTATTCACGACCCATTGTCCTAGACAAGTCGGGGTCGGCCAAGGCAAGGTTGCGATTGAGATTGCCGTCGGCCCAGCTAGCGAACGTATTGCAGCCTATCATCAGTCGATGGTGGACCTAGGTAGTCTGTAAGCAAGCGAGAGGGGCAGCCTGGGTAAGCTCGACTGACCTTCAGTAGTTTGGCCTGGGTCAGCATGCACTCTTTGAGACAAGTATCCAAGAAATCCACATGGTCCTGCATCAGTTCATCCACCGTACGGTTGGCCTGCTTGGTACCGTTGACAGTGACTTCCGAACCATCTGCGTCGGTTCCATTCACCCGGTTCATCAGAATCTGCCAATTGGGCTCGATGACCTCCGCCGTGCAGAAGTAGAGCAGCTGTTGGATGAATAACAGCATCTTCGAGCGCAGGGTCCACGCGCGTCGTTTCCACGTCTCCAATCGTCGGTCAGAGGACTTGTGTCGCCAGGCGTCGGCCTTGCTTTGCTCCAGCCAAGATGCGCCGAGCATAGTTTCAACGTGGCGCAATGACAAGATGTGCCGGAAGACAAGTTGATACCGTAAAACTGTCTTCCGACTGATAACGAGAGACAGTGGGAAGGGTACCAGATAGTCGAGCTCGAGCGCATCGAATCCATTGATCTTCGTATCATTTTCTCCACCTTGCGTCGAAGGGGCTTGATATTTTTCGAGTGCCGCCTCCGGATCATCTTGGTTCATGCCGGAGACGCTCACGACCTGCATCAGCCATTTCGTGAGCCCGACCTTATTCATACGCACCTTAACGTCTTCTTTGAAAGGGTCCTGAGCGGCTATACTTCCGGGCTGACGTAGGACTAAGTCGAGAAGCGACTGGAGCTTGCTCTCATTGACATCCTTGGCGGGCCTGCGCAGCTCAGAATCGCTAAGCTCGAGGAAGTAGGAAAAGAAGTCGGAGCGATCCAGGAAGAAGTAATGCTTGAGAGAACGGAAGCGGGTCGTCAACGAGTTCTTGGTCAAGAGAAGGTTCAATAACGAGGCATTCGCATATGTGTAAGCCGCATTGACATTTTCCAAGAAGCGAGGATCATCTAGAGTCTTGGGCACATCCCTGACCTCTTTACTGACATCAACGCCACCGCATTCTCGTACGACATTAAGGTACTTGCCTGCCAATAGAACTTTGTCTTTGACCGTCTCCAGCTGTGGCGGCACCTCATTGTCGCGGATCGTATAACGTTTGTCCCAATACTCGTCGGTGTAGTCTTCTTCGAGCTTTTCGCGCTTGATCCATTTCTGCTCTTTTACCAGAAATTCACCATGTGGGTCTTTAATCCCTCCGTGATGCAGCCATTCGTTGAGCATAGCCATGTAAGGCCGGCTGCCGTCTCGCAGCAACCTTTCCAAAAGAGCCTTCGTGGTTGGATCACCTGAGAATGTTGCAAGTCGCTCAGTCAAAAGACGGAGGACATTGCCGCCTTTGCATATCTTCTTACTAGACATAGCACCTGGAACGAGATCTCCGCCTTCCCTCAACTGTTCCAGAATGTTATCAACGTCGTCAAAGTCGTCGATGGTCTCGTCAAGGTCTTGGTCCAAGAGCCCGTTTCGCCGGAGTAGGTCCTGACCGAATGAGTATAATTGAGCCAAGCATTGGCTAGTAGGCATGGTCTGCAGGTGAAGAACATGCAACGTGAAGTTGGGATTTCTCAGCAGTTCACCTTCAAGCTGCGCGACCAGCACTAGAAACTCTTTTAACAATTTCCGGATCGTAGCACACATAGCATGGCTCACTTGGCCGTATTCCGCCCGACTTTGTACTTCGACAAATGACTCCAATGCGCTATAATGTGTCGCGATTTTTAGCGTCGAAAGGGTGAGATCCTTCAAGGTCGGGTCTAGACCAGCCGGTAGCTGAAAGACGGGGCCCGTCAACCTATCCTTTTCCACCGATGGGTCGTACGAGCTGTGGTAATGGATGTACTGGCCCTCAAATCCCATGAAAGTGAAAAGAAGATCTTCCAAGATTGCTTTCTCCTGCGCGTCCGGAGATAGCTCGCGAAATGGCGAAGGCTGTAGGGATGGAGGCAATGCGGATGCCAGCGGAGGAACCGAGACACGAGAGGCCAACGGCGCGGTGGAATGGGGCACTAAAGAAGCCTGCGGGTTCCAAGGAGCTGCAGGTGGTTCATAGTTAGCATATGAAGAGGAATCTTGACTTGCGAACGAGCATGTTGAGGGAACATTGACTGACCCTCGGTCGGCTGCTTCTCCTTCCTGCGAGCGTTGGGACTGCCACCATCGACATGGCTAACTCGCTTCGACCGTGAGCGCTCAAGCCCTCTGCCATGTCCAGCTGGCAATTCCTTTGTTGCATGCCTTGTTCGACCGTGAGACATTTCCTTCGCGATGCCCGGCATCCGCTCTGCCCGCCTGTCGGTCGCCATTTGTTGTTGCTGTTCGCGAGGGATCCTGGGTTTGGGGCTGGATGAGCCGACAAAATGACTGACGGGTTCCGACTGCAATGGAGAGGCGCCGCTGCGTATGGGAGCTCTTTCTGGATCAGCGACGCGATTCGAGGCAACGCGGGGTCGTGGTGCGCTCATGTAGTTGGCGCGACGGTCACTGACGGACATGCTCCCGCAGGGTGAGAACAATCGGGAGGACCATGCAGCATAAAGGAGCTGGTTTGGTTTCGCGGGAGAGAGTGAGAATAGAGTGAGAGATATTCTCCTCTTGGTGAAGCTAAGAGCCACGAAAAGCGAGAACAAATTGAATTGCACACGATCGCAATTACACGTCGAGGGGAAAGTTGGGAGTCGGGGAAGTTTGGTACGCAATCCGACAAGCTCCAAGCAATCGATAGATGCCTGGTTGTGGCCTGGGGCAGCAACCACCGCCTTCTCCGCCAGGCACTCGCCGGACTTGCGTAGCCCGCAACAGCTTCGCCCCGAGCTTCCCAAGAGCAGCTGGCCAACATCTTCTCCTCCCCCCACCCCCCATCCCTACACCCTACAACTTATCACGCTTCCCCATTCTATCTCTAATTTTCACCAGAATATATCTCTGTCTTCTTTTCCAACCCCGCATATCTCTTTCATATCTCCCATACAGCCAACATGTTCATCGCCCGATCGGAATATGGTAAGCTCCGTCAGACCCTCCTCTCTGATGCGGTCATCTAACAGCTTCTCATCGCAGACCGTGGAATCAAGTACGAGCTCTGTCACCCCCCTGTCGAGTCTACTGGATCTGCAAGCTCGAATTCCTAACCTCGTCACTTTCGCAGCACCTTCTCTCCGGAGGGGCGTCTCTTCCAGGTCGAATACTCTCTTGAAGCTATCAAATTGGGCTCCACTGCGATCGGTGTACGTTCAGCCATCCCCTTCTGCGACAGACCCGACTTTCCAACGCCTGCCAACGGCACGAGCGTGTCCCTTCATGCGATTCCCCATATTAGTCATTGCGATGGAATGGACCCGTCTGACAACAGAACCAGGTAGCGACCTCGGAAGGTGTCATTCTGGGCGTGGAGAAGCGCGTCACCTCCAGCCTCCTCGAGGCTTCCTCCGTTGAGAAAATCGTCGAAGTCGACCAGCACATTGGCTGCGCCATGTCCGGTCTGCAGGCAGACGCCCGGTCCCTGATCGAGCACGCCCGCGTCGAATGCCAGAACCACGCCTTCCACTACGCCGAACCCCTCAGAGTCGAGAGCTGTACCCAGGCGATCTGCGATCTGGCGCTGCGGTTCGGAGAGACGGGAGATGACGAGGAGAGCGTGATGAGCCGGCCCTTCGGTGTCGCTCTGTTGCTCGCCGGTATCGATGAGGATGGACCTCAACTGTACGTGATGGCGATGGGATCTTGTCCCTTTGCGGCGCTGGAAACATCAGGCTGCTGCATAGTGTGTCTGGCTTACTAATCTTTCTGTCTTCATTAGATACCACGCCGAGCCGTCGGGTACATTCTATAGATACGATGCCAAGGCGATTGGCTCCGGCAGCGAGGGTGCACAGGCGGAGCTGCAGAACGAATACCACCGCTCCTTGACGTTGGCGGAGGCAGAGACTCTGGTTCTGAAGACGTTGAAGCAGGTCATGGAGGAGAAGCTGGACGCGAAGAACGTCCAGCTCGCCAGCGTGACCAAGGAGAAGGGATTCCGCATCTACAACGACGAGGAGATGGGCCGGGCTGTTGCGCAACTCGGCGGGAACCAATGAGGGAGATGATAATGCTTGGGATTCTCGATGAGCCAATGTGTATGTCGGCAATGGTAGTCTTTGGAGGGATCTCTGTTGGGCCAACCCCATAGAAAAGAACAATGACTTGTCTAATGATCTATATATCGCCTTGTTGCATCGATCCTATTGATAACGAATAGGATCCTGGCGAGACAGCCATCTGGTATTTACACGACATCGTCACCTGGCACCATCATACGCAGACGCCAGGCCTATACTATATGCTATATGCCATATACACCGCACTCCAACCACACCCCTAGCAGCCACCACACCTTACCATCTCCCCCAAACTCACAACCCCGTAAACTCCGCAACTGCCCCCAAAACCACCTCAGCCACCCTCTCCGGCTGGCCAACCTGCGGCACATGGCCCGCACTGCACCGCTCAACCCGACTGCCCGCCGTAGCGGCCAACTGCTCCTGCAACCCCACGGGCAAAGCCTGATCCGCCTCACACACCAGATACACACTGGGCACATCCCGCCACCCGGCATACTCGACCGTGGCATCCCAGCCCTGCGCCGGCTGGGGCCTGAGCACCTCCGTCCACTTCCTCTGCTCTTCCTCCGACAGATCCCCGAACAGCAGCTTCTCGGGATTCGCACAGTACGATGCGCCGTCCTAACCATTCATACACATTAGCACATATATCACGACCCTAACTACCCTAATCCTTGAACCCAAGGATCCCCCTTCCCCTCTTCCACTATAATGTTGACACCAGGATCAGGGAGGGAAAAAAGTGACAAACCTCCACCCAAGCAAACGGCAACGGCTCATGCTCAAACCCCACAGGAAACACCGCAGCCGCCAGGAACACGATCCCGATGACGCCGACCTCGCCGCCGCGGGCCCCGCGATCAAGGCCCTGCATGGCCTCGCAGCCGAGAAACCCGGCGGCCGAGTGCAGGACGAGCACCACGGAGTCGCCACGGGAGACCAGCCGGGAAATGGCGGCGCGGAGGGCGGCGATGTCGTCTTTCATGGTCGGGTTGCCGGGCGAAACGGTGCCGGTGCTGGGGAGGGTGACCGTCTCCACGGGGTAGCCGGCGGTTGTGAGGAGGGTGGTGAGGTAGGTGTAGACGGTCGGTCCTTCCCAGAAGCCGGGGATGAGGAGAATAGTAGGGGTAGGCATTTAACTGTTGGGGGGTTGTTGCGATGGTGGGTGGATGTATGGACAGTAGACACCACACCATGTACATAGGCTACGATTTTTGGGGATGGAAGGAGGAGAAAGAGGGGGGATCGAGTTTCATCAACAGAAATGGGCTGTGAGCTATGGAGGGGAGGCTGTTTGTGGCAGGCTGGCTGATTGATCGATTGCTTGAGCTTATGCTAATGCTAAGGCTCTGTGTCGGATCATTCTATACGCTTTGGTCGTTGAGGATGGAGACGTGCGGTCCTACTGTGAACCAGTGGAATGGGATGGTCTGGCTTTTCTCCAAGGCACTTCTTGATTACTGGACTAGCTAGTAGCAAATCACAAATGGGATAGGGTCGTCTAAATCCCTCTGATTGAAGAGTTCAGTGTAAGCTGACACAGTCCTCACTCTCGCGTAAGCACTAGCACCAAAAAGAACTCGTCGAACCTAGCTCACTGAAGGTCTGGCTAAAGCTTAGTATGGAGATGCCGATCCAGGCACTCCCAGTGGCATTGGATATCACCGATATCACCACTGCTACGAAAGAGCGACGTAGAAGCTGATATCGCGTCTACAAGAAATGGCTCGCGGACTTGTAGGGCTCTCCGTTCCTGCTTTACGTGTATCATCCAGGCCTCCTATTTCATACGACTTCATCACTCACAAAAGCATCAGCAAGGGTTCCCTCGCACTTATAGGGCTGGATGGACTGTACAGCGTGCTCTCACACTCACTCCGCAGCCAATCTTGCCTTCCTTTCTCGCCCACTCTTTATGGCTGGACCTAATCAATCGGTCCCAGAACCAGCTGGCAAGATTTGATTCATCGAGTGGATTGCCGGACGCACAGCTTGCATACGATGTAGATATATGCATGCACATATAACCTGATTTGCCGCTGATCGCTGGCAACCGGGATCTAGAAACGATCGCGGTGGTTTCTGCGCCACCGATTACCTAGGCTAGATTGTGAACTGGGCTGGCAGGGCGAGACCTCTTTCGAATCTAGACTGTCTGGGTTCGGTGGCTAGGCCTTCGAATCGTTGTTCTAAGATTATGAGGCTGGTGCGCTCTGGATATATTTATATCTTCTGATTGGTGCTGTCGCTGTTGCCATGTAAGAGGACAAGTACAATTCCGAACCTGGAGAGATTGCTGCAGGTGTGGGATTGTTGTGGCTTCTGTTGTTGTTGTGGCCCGAGGTTCTGTGTCATGCATTTAATCCCTGGAGCTTGGGTCATCATCAGGATGACTTAACAACGATGAGAGTTAAGAACTGACCTATTGGTATGGTCACATCCTTTGTTTGACTCCGATCAGCGATCAGGAGATATCACTGTTGAGGATCTCGCATGCACGGTCAGAACAAGGATGTTCTTTGTTGGTCTGCAAGGAAGGATGTGAGCTGTAGACAAGGAATAACAAGGTCATAGCTTAGGTGTGCTTCGGTCACAATGAGCGACTTTTGAGGAAGTCTTCAACTGCTACTTGGATCGAATGGGACTCAGACATGGGTAGAGTAATTGAGGGCTCATGCCGGGTGCGTGATTACCAAGCACCTTTAAGCTCAGTTGTGTTATCTGCGCCGTGAATCAATCACAACAATCAGTTCTTTCCAAGTCGCGGAATTTGGCATAGCAAACCCTGATCGCAGATTACTCTCCTGCCTGATCGGATCTACCAAGCAGTAGGGCCAGTCCTGGCTGAGACAATAAATCCGAGCTGTTGTGCGCAGGGACGGAGACTGGATCGTGCAGAGATGCCTATACGGAGACTTGGCGCAGAACAACAGTTGGCAGTACCTTAGCTTCGGCTCCGTTCTTGTTGGCTCGGCATTAGTGCAGAAAAGCCACAGGCTGGGATGGGGTGAGTGGATTTGCGCCTCCACTGGACTGTCCATTGTTTTTCTTCATGGCTCATGCGCCTGGAAGAGATTGTAGTTTAACGTCGAGTCTGCAGACACCCGGAGGGGTCAAAGACGACACGGCAAATTTAGAGCGGCATACCATTTCCGTCAATGCCTGCATCCTCTATACTCTTTTTGAGCGGTAAAATTGGGCTCATCTCATGTCATGTCCATTATTGTAACTTAATCTTCCAGGTCCAGTGTCGAGACCGTTGTTTTGAGTCAGACAGTAACCCTTTCTTACTTCCCCGTTGCCCGGCCGAGGCTACAATTCGAGGATACCTCTATCCCACTCCACTATCAGTGATGTCTACCCAAGCACCGTCGTAAGCCTGGGTGATCTATTTCTGTTGCCCAGTCGCTTCGGTCTCGACCAATTTCTGACCCGCTGTGGATCGGCGAAAGTAAACAATATGGCAACGCCAACAAGACCACGGCCGTACTGGGTTTGTCCAGGTGGATAACAAACAGAGTCTGGAGGTTCTTAGTAAGTTTGATTGGTAGAGCATCAATATCGGTGTGCGATGAAAACACAGAATAGAGGCGTCCAGATTGACTACCAAGGTCAGGCCACTCTGCGACCTGTTATGAGTACTCAATGTTTATAGTTCAAAGGTATTGTTGATCATGGCCAGTCTCATGCACATCGAAAGAAGACGGATCCATTCGAGTCAGCCAATTGGTGAGGTTCCCCGCTCACGGCTGCAAAGAAAAAAACCTGAGGCCCGACCGATTGAATGAAATCATTCCTGTTGCCTCGGAAAACAGACGGCAATGTTGCACAGAACAGTCTCTGGGGAGGCGGCTGAATCGATCTGGGATGTCATACATACAACAGTTCCTCCGCCCCTGTCGTAGGCACGTGGTCATTGCAAGGCTACCACTGTGTAACGGCTAGATTGGTGGTTGGTGGTCACTGAGCTTCAGTAACCGCGTCCTGTGAGGAAGCACTGCCGTATCAGAGTGATGCTCGTCTGGCTGGAACTCTTGGGTTGAAACCAGGAGTGTCGAGACCCTGTCTCGGATCGACCTAGTTCGCTGTAGACCACAGGAGGAACTCTGGACCTGGGAGCTATCGACCAGTAGGTAACCAGCAGTGACTACTGTATTGGACTCACTGACTAGCCGTCTCTGGTCGGAAGTGGGTGGGCTTTACACCCAACCACAAAGGGTTTGATGCATGATGTACTGATGGGCGGACAGCTGGACGGAAGCAATGCGCTGCACTGCTTACGCCTCGAGATTTGCGATTTGCGTGAAGATGGAGAGGACCAGACTCGAGGGCGAGGCGGCTGGGTGGAGGGTGACTTGCAGGGTGAGAGACCAGGAATGAACAGGACAGAGGAGTTTCAATACAGCTGAGGGAGTGAGTGACTGAGGAAGTGAGTGGCCATCAGAAGCACACGCGGTTACCGCACGGGGAAGGCGAGCAATCGAGCTGAGCAATCCGTCCACCGTCACTCAGTTACGACTCTTAACGAGACGATTACACGTGGATCCTGCCGAAAAATCGCAGGGCGAGGGGTGCGGATCACTCGAGTTTACCATACCAACTAACATACCAATACGCAAGGGTAATCTTCTCCACCAAACGTCACTCACCTAGTTTTGTAACTGTGTATGTACTCGAGTACAGTATTTCTATTTTCTTTTCTCATTTTGTCTTTTCTTTCCCATGAAATTTGTTCAGTCTATTTTCGATTCCCCCTTTCTCCTTCACAGCAGATATTTGCCAGAGGATATATAAGAGTCCTTCGATTCTCTCCACTACTGGGAATTATTCCATTGTTGCAGTCTGTGAGATAGAGCACTTTTCATACTCATACTTCCGAAAACTGCCTTATCGACTCGATCGATTATCAACCCTGCCCCGCCATCTGATTTAAACTGCGGCCCGCCAAAAGTCAGCCGCTGTCGTCACCCACGGTTGAATCTAATCATCCTTCCATCTCATTCATCCATACTTCGTACTTCATCCCGAGTCACAACAGTCAGTCACCCTTATCTGCCTTTGGTATCTTCAGGTCATTTTCTTCATCACCACACCGCCGTATTACACATGTCTCGCTACGGCGACTACCGTCGCTCCACGGGGGCTCTTGACGATGACCGCTACCCGCATGAGCGGCGGGAGCGTCACCACCGTCACCGTTCGCGCGCCCCCTCGGTGCTTGATCGCCCCCGTCGATTTGAAGAAAATGAACGTTTCGAATACCGCCTACAAGAACAAGACCGCTACGGCCCCCCTGCTCGTCGCCCGGACATCGTGTACCAGGACGATCATCTGATCCATTCATCTGGTCCTTTGGTTGCTTACGATCGCCGTCGTGCGGAGAGCCCTCTGCCTCGACCTCGACTTCTCCGGCGCCAATCCTCCCTAGACACCTTCGATCGGATCCCTGCGCGCAAGTTAGATGAATACTATTACAGTGACCGCCCTCCCAGATTGTCTCCAAGCCCGCCACCCCGACGGGGATCTTACCATCGAACCCGCGAACCAGACTACTACGAGGAAATCAGCATCGCGGAAGGAGACTATGGAGAGGAAGAGTACCGGGGCTTTCGCGAACGGAGCGTAGGACGTCCCCGTCGCTCAGCAAGTCGTTTTCGTGAGAGACTAGTGGAGGAAATTGATGTGGAAAAACCGTATCCTCGGAAAGGCAAGACTCGCATGCCCCGCAAGATGGTTCATACCACTGCAATCCGCGAGCTTGGCTACCCGTATGAGGAAGAGGTGTGTATACAGTTCTTTCACGCTTTGGACAAAAAAGAAGGTCTAGAGTCTATTTTACCGATCGATAAGCTGACATCTTTGGTCCAAGGGTAAAATGGTTGTCATTCAGCTGGCTCTGTCCAAAGAACAAATTGATGAGGTCATCGGGAGAAGTCGCGAGATCAAGCGCCTGACCGAGAGTAAGTCACCCTTTCGCTTCGAGTCCGCAGGCAGCAGGCACTAACTGCATGATTTTAAAGCACGCGTTATCCACACCAGCTCGCCGTCCCCAGTTCGCGCCCGCCGTCGAGACAGAACTGTGGAGCGAGTTCCGATGGAGGCCTATACCCCTAGAACCAGCCACGACACTCTTATCATCGAGGCGTCTCCGTCACGGCATCGATCTCATTCGCGCCACCACCACTACCACCACCCCCATGGTGAGCTTTTGGAAAAGAAAGTGACCAGGACTGTATCACGTACCCGAGACATTTCGGTGCATGGACGACCCCGTCGTCGATCGTCACCAGTACGCAGATATGAGCGTTATGAGGAGCAACCTAGCAAGACTCACGCTGGGTCCCTGGCAGTTGTGGTGCGGCCCCGCGATAGTGACGAAGATCTGCGGGAATATGCGCTTGAGCGACGTGGCAGCGGAGAGTATGTCCGAGACACGGAGATCATTGGGGATGGGGTTGCGGAGGAGATTCATGAAGTGAAGAGAGAGCGTAGAGGTACGAAACATATGTTGTTCTATCACCCATTTGGATGCTAATGCCTTTCTAGGTCCAAGTTCCCGCATGATGCGTGCGATGATGGCGACATTGACGTAGTCTGGTCGAGTTGTGGTGTTATACAAATTCTTGCTTTTATGACGCTGACTTACGACTTATCGATTACCCTTTCGGTGTTTCTTATAATAACTGTGATCTTCTTTTCCTATTTTGTTCTTCCCTTTGCTTTCTTATCATGTACTATAACAGCTTGACTGCGTTTCTCTCTGTATTATTTGACTAGCCCAGTTTGACGATCATTTGGCGAAGATAATGATGACTATGCGAGCAACGATGACTATAAACAAATACTTATGACTCATGACTCATGACCATCTAACAAGTGAATTTAAGTAGTCAGAGACCTGATTCTGCATGATCTACTCCAGCCACCTAAGCGTGCTACTGCAAGCGATTTCTCCCACCGCCTGCTGCCAACTCATCGCCCATGGATTGATTGTTCTTCCAACCAAGCTATTGCCAGGCGGGAACTTGAACTATTCCAGAAGCGTAATTGCCGGCACGAAACCGTGGCGGGGCCAGGCGGTGTCAGACCGACGGAAAGTGGCCTCGACGCTTGCGATCATCTCAAAACACTCTGCCTCTGCAAGCCACAGATAGGCTATCTTAGCTTTTTACAAAAACCTTTGCATCGCCTCTACTGAATATCTACCAGTAGGACTGTACCGACTTTCACCATGGACAAGTTCTCAGCGTTCGGAAAGAACCTCAGGTGAGATAAATGATCGTCCTTCTCCTGAGTGTGGCTTGTGCCAGGAGTTGGTAGTGGATTCCGTATCCAGCCTCTTCCCAGCGGCTGCGCACGAGCTTGAGCTGCCATCATCGATCAGACATTCACGCTAATATTTCGCTTCGATGGGATATTCAGCGCGAGCTTCTCTCCCTTTGCCCAGCGCACTCAGCAGATGATCCGCGAGCAACTCGGTCAGGCAGAAGACCGGACTCAGCTTCCCGATGAATACATCGAATTGGAGAAGCGCGTGGATGCGCTGAAGATTGTCCACCAGAAGCTCCTCCAGGTCACGTAAGGGCATCTAAGTATTCCCCGGTCTTGAATGTTACCTGCTCACGTCCCAACCTCCTAGCTCCCAATACTCCAACGAAGCCTACGACTACCCTCCCAACATCCGTGAATCCTTCAATGATCTCGGTCGCACGATCAACGAGAAGGTCTCGCTTCTTTCCCAAGCCTCGTCGCCTGCCGAGGCCCAGGCGGCCCTGGTCGCCCCCCCCTCGGCCAAGCCCCAGCCCAAGACCTTCAACCACGCCATCGCTCGCGCCTCGCTGGCCGGATCCCAGACCCTGGCGCAATCCTCTCACGGCGAGGACCCCCTGGCTACTGCCCTGGAGAAGTACGCGCTCGCCGAGGAAAAGGTGGGCGAGGCCCGTCTGGCCCAGGATGCTCAGATCCAGTCGCGCTTCCTGGCTGGGTGGAACACCACGCTGAACACAAACCTGATGTTCGCGGCCAAGGCCCGCAAGAACGTCGAGAACGCTCGTCTCATGCTGGACTCGATCAAGGCGGCTAAGAAGGCTCAGGTCAAGGGAGACTGGGACAGTCTGAGCGAGGAGGCTCGCGCCGAGATTGAGCAGGCGGAGGACGAGTTCGTCGGACAGACTGAGGAAGCCGTGAGCGTGATGAAGAATGTATGTTTAGATGGCAGTGAACTTGGTGGATGATGGCTGACTATGTACCAGGTTCTCGACACCCCCGAGCCCCTCCGCAACCTGGCCGATTTGATCGCCGCGCAGCTCGAGTTCCACAAGCGGGCCTATGAGATACTCAGCGAGTTGGCTCCTGTCGTGGACGGCTTGCAGGTTGAACAAGAGGTGAGTGCATGGATTCCGGATATTCTTGGTGCTTGACTGACGTGCATTTCGACACAGGCTAGCTACCGCAAGAGCCGTGAGGGAGCTTGAAATGCCGCTCAAATTGTAAATTTCCTTGTCTTATCGTTTGCTTCTGTTGGAATCGCAGCCCCTGTTAATTCAGCCCCTGTTTGATTTTGTGGCAGTGTTCTATATCCCTCGATAGGTGGTTACATCGATCAGATTGACTACACCTTTTGTAGTGTGACTGTAGTTTGGACTGTAGTATATGTCGTTTTAGGCCAACGATGCCTGCCCCAGGCCCCAACGGCGGGCCGGTAGGGCGGTGAGCGGTGGGCCCAGGCGGTGTAGGCGGGCCCAGGCGGTGTAGGCGGGCACTTTGCCCAGCTGCCAGCTGCCAGCAAGCAGCAAGCAAGCAAGCATCACCTCTTCGGAGAAGCTCCGCCGATAACTCACCTCTGTGTCGATAACCATCATCATCCTGTCGGTCTGTCGGTCTCTGCCTGCCACGACAACCATTCTCGCCGTCCTTCACCCCCAAGTATCCCAATTGCTCGTATCTCCATATCCACTTGGCCTTCCGAACCACCCTTACCCCCGAAGCGTACACAACATCCCCGACCTCGCAATAGCAATCCATACCCCTCGAACAATCAAAGTAACCAACAGCACTCCACACCCACAGCGCAGTACACATTCCCAGACCAACCACTCAGCCAGCAACTCTCACCTACAATCAATCTATCTCCGAATATCACCCCGAGACAACAGGAGTAAAAGCACATAGTTAGGCTGGCCCTACGCTGTACGGAACAATAATTGTACTTCCTTCCACCACCACAAAGCGTATCTGCCAATCGGGACCTGGTGCTTACGCTCTCGCCACAGATTCTCTCCTCGACCTCTGGAAGACATCTCATACCGAAGCGATTATAGTCAAGATGGCGAACGGGTAAGTCACCCCCGGCCCTCGCAAATCATTCCCCGGACGGCCACCAGGAGTGCGCTTGGAAGTACCAAGCAGCAAGCAGGCTTGAATGCCCTTTCACCCACGTCCATCAACATCTCCATAACCGGAACCTCAAACCCACCCACTAACCCATGCTGCAAAACAACCAGATGGAGCATCATCATCGGCCTCATCGTCGTCGTCATCGCCTCCGTTTTGGCGTGGATCTTCAGCCCCAAGGGCGAGAATCAGACGTATGTTCATCGCACCCTCCCCTCGCCCCTAACTCCCTCCATCTTACCACCAAAGAGAGAATGCAATCTATCCGCTCAACCAAACCTCAACTAATAACATAATCGAAAACAGTGTGTTCAGAAGTACCCTGATCTTATCCTTCGTATGCTGTTATCTGATGTGGGGTATGTCTTTCCCCCATACCCTCCATGAGCCGGGCCAGGCCCCCAAAACTGAATACTGACATGTGATTCTTCTGTTATGTGTAGCGATCACGTTCCTCGCGCAGTGGCATCCGCTTATCGCGCCTAAGAGGTCGGATATTCGGCCTGATCGGGTGCCTGAGTAAATCCCTCTTTGACTTGCGATCCTGCTTTTGTGTTGAAGGAGTGTGAGTTCGGGAAGTGAGGCCTTTGTATGATGTATGTCGAGGTGGATCGGCAGGGTGGGTGTCTAGAAGTGTTGGTGATATGCTACGTACGGGCCCGTCCTGGCTTGGTTGGCGGGGAGGGTTGAATGGGATTATACCCCCGTGAATTTTGCAAGGGATTTTCTCATGTTTCTCGAACGTTTTGTATAGTTCATAGTTTATAGGTTTTCGTTGGCACGGGTGAAGGTTGTTTTGAGTTATGCGGATTCGCGAATTGCATCATGATTGTATCCTACATTTTTCTTCTCTTGGGCGAGGGGGAGTTATATGTATGTTGCGTATACGGAGGTGGAGGTAGAGGAGCTAAAAGATAAGCATGGATCTGTGTTTGTTGATGCTTCCCGTTAAGCTTAGGTTAACTAACTCCGACCAACCCCAAGATCACTCTCTGGACTGACCACCGCGCCACCAACCCCGTCACCGCCAACGCCACGGCCCGCAGATACCCGCATCCAAGCAGGATATACAGTGCCTCAATGTTACTCAGTAGCACAAGATGCGAATCCGCCGCACCCAGGGACAGCAGCGAGCCCATTAACTCGAAGAACTCGGCGAGATAGCCGGTGGGAACGGACTCTGGCAGTGCGCGCACAATACTGTCCAAGAGGGAGGAGGAAAGTGACGACGATGATGATGATAACGATGATGTGGAGGAGGTCTGTGTGGCTGTTGTGATGGCGGCGGTGATTGCTGCGACAGGAGTGAGGATGCTGTCGAAAGCTGTGGGTGAGCCAGTACTGGCACTACTGCCGATTTGATCAATGGCAGAGTGCGAAGCGGTGGTAGTGGTGGTGGTGGTGAAAGCGTTGCCGCTGCCGTCCGGGCCCCAGATGACGAGGAGGATGGGAAATAGCTTCGCGCAGCTGCTGACGAGAAGCGCGGTGCTGATGGCGGTGGGGCTTGCAGGGGAGGGTGGGGGCAATGGCTTGATATTCATTCCCATGGGGATGTTCATGGCCATGTTTTGGGCGGGGCCGGTGGAGGAGCGGCGGAGCGGCGGCGGAGGGGGGGAGTGGGCGGTTGGGGTTGGGGTTTGAGATTCGCTGCCTGTCGTGATGGTGCCAGTGGATGTTGTTGTTGCTGGATCTTGGAGAGAAGAAGATGAGCCCTGCGGGATGAGCTTAGGTGGGCTGAGGATCGTTGCAGGGGTGGGTGTGGCAGCCGGGGAGAGTTGGGAGGCTGGAAATGACGGTAGCACCGGGGTGGAGGGATGAGAGGCCTCTGTCCCGGTGTTGTTTGTTGTATTGCTCTTCGCGACGTGACCCCGGGGCGTTGGGGCGAGGATCGAGGCAAGGAGACGGATGGTGAGATGATGAGCAAGCGTCGCAAGCGCGTTCAGACTGAGGAAGAAGAGGTATTGGACGATGACGGGGGCGCGCCAAAGGAAGGTATCGACAATGGAGGGCGATTTCTCAATGCGAGCCCAGGTGAGGTAGACATCGAACAGGAGTAGGAGGATCCCGAGACGGATGATGGAGCGCTGAGAACGTCAGCTATTGAGTGATAAAGTGTTGACAGTGGGTGGTCTTACATCGAATTGGTTGTCATAGCCTCCTAATCGATTGAAGAGCAGATGGCGATATACCTGGTACATTTAGCTTTGGGTTCAATTTGCAGAGCAAGAGCCGCACCTGTGGTTTGATCAGGACAAGATCGATGAAGAGTACGACAAAGTCATATTCGACATATTTGTCGGCGAAGCGCTGGCAGCGCGGACATTGAGTCAGGCGAACTCCTTTACCCAATGATCGGTCATCAGCACGGCTGTAGGTGCTGTACAGATGGGAGACTGGATATGAGCACTCGATGCAGATGGGCATCGTGTCACTTGTAACTGATTATAAAATCATCGTTGATATAAATGCAACATGCTATGAGGAATGATGGAAGAGAGGAAAAGGAAAGGAGAAAGAGTCGACTCCAATCTCGGCGCGGAGATCAAAGGCGGTGAAGACCTTCTCCGCAGCGGCTGTCCCTGGTCTGTTTACTCCGCATCTCCACTCCAGTTCCGGCCCCTCGTTTCAACCGACGCAACAGCTGGCTAGTCAATCTATTGCATCCTAGTTGCTTTATAACCATTCTCTTCCAATGTTGACCGTCAAGAATATATTCAGGTCCTCGGAAGCTAAAGCTTACTTCCCACATCCGGGCTCTTGACATACGCCAGGATATCATTCCGACCACTCGCCAACCGTTCTGGGGTTGTCTTGAACAGCCGTGGAACTCCACTTTCCTCATAAGCTGCACCATCCACAACCATCCGTGCGATGCCCCGCGCAGACAAGAAAATCTGCGGCATGCCATGACCACTATAACCAGCGATTACGAGCTGACCGGGTTTACCTGGCACATGTCCAACATGCGGTAGAGCATCACTGCTATATCCCATCACTACTCAAACATTAGCCCAACGACCATAGGACGCAACAAGTCGATCAACAAGGGCTTACCTCCTGACCACACACGGTCCGTATATGCCCCCGTATTCTCCCAGCCGTGGAAAGTACGCTGCATATAGTTGTCAAAATATCGTGTCGCACCGTCCACCACCCGGCCATCATCAGTGTTGTGGTACCAACTGGGAATGTCCTGTTTGTAGAAGGTGGACTTCGCACCGCCCACGATGATACTACCGTCAGGACGTGGAATCAAGTAGTCATAGTCCCAGGCGTTGAAGCGCAGAGTATACGAGCAGTCCATGGGCACAGTAGGTGGGTTTGGAACCACGATGCGACTGCAGAATCCCCGCACGGGGACGATCTTGTCCCGGTACTGTGGTGCAAGGGCAGCAGTGTATGCATTGGTGGCGAAGATGACCGTCTTGGTGCGAATCGAGCCGCGGTCAGTGGTGAGGGTCCATCGTCCTTCAGCATCCGGGTCATTAGAGATCTGCCGTACCGGGGTGTTCGTCTGCAGATTCACCCCGGCGGCAATGGCGAGCTTCAGAAGGTGCATGATAAGCTTGTACGGCCACAGGCGCCCGGTGCGTTGGCTAAAGCACCCCCGAGCTCCTTTGACGGCCGACACCTGCCAAAGTCGGCGGACCTAAGCATGTGCATACATACGGAACATGATTGCGATAAACTCACAGCTTCAGCAGCCTCCAGCCCGGTAAATTTCACATCTTCTACAGACTTTACCCCCTTCGCGACCAGAGAATCATAACCCGCCTTGACCTTGGCAAGTTGGGCTGGGTCAAAGTGCACATCGCAGACGCGGTTCACTTCCATATCACAATCGATCTTCTCTTTCTCCACCAAGGCCTGTACTGCAGAGACATGTTCCATCTCGAATGCGGCCACTTCGGCCGCCGCCTTGACTCCGTACTCATTGGCCAGGTTGCCGACTCGGCTGTAGACATCGGGCTTGAGATGGCCACCTGTGCAAACCGCGGGGCAGATGGACGCCCCACAAATTAGCGAATGCTCATGATCCAGAACTACTTCATGAGCGAAGCTTCATACCGTTGCGTCCGGTAGCCCCCGAGCAAGCCTGCCGTGCTTCAAGAATGATGATGGACGGCTGCCTCTTTCCGCCGGCAGTCGCACGCTCCAAGCAATGATAAGCAGTAGATGCGCCGGCGTAGCCAGCTCCGATGACGGCAATGTCGCAGGTTTCGGGTAGAGCGTCGGTGGAACGATGATTGTCCAATGGATCGGGCTCCGACCGCCAGAATGAGGACATGCTATTTACAGCTGGAAATGGGCTGGTCATGGTGAGAGGATCGGTTGGGGACACTTGAACTATGATAGAACTATGGAAGAGGACAATGAGTAGAGCGCATGGCTCAATTCATAATTATACTGGAAGACCATTACCATATCTAGTAGCGCATACTTAGTGCCCTTGAGAGAAGATAAGGCGCCTGATAGCTATGGGCGCAACCTATAGTATTGGACAAAATCGCCGACAGGTTGCAGCGGGGAAGAATCAAACAAGACATTGCCTCCCTTGCCGGTGAGGGGAAGACGGGAGTATTGTCAGATTACTCCTTGTATACCAGGCTGGGGCCCGCTTATCTTAAATCGGGCCATCTGTTATCAATGCTAATGATATCCTGGTTCGGCAGTCTATACTTCCCAACACGGCGCGTTCGACGATTCTTCCCAGAGATTCACCAAGTTCCAGCAAAAGAGATAGTTTAAAGTGGAGGGACCCGGAAGGATTGAAATTCGACAAGCTAGAATAGAAGAAGAAAGATTTACCTTGTAGCGTAGAAAGGCAGCACATTGGAGCATCAATCATGCCCCAAGCACCCTCTTAAGCCCTAAGCAGCAGTAGAAACCCGCAATTTAACTTATCCATCATTTTGACAAGGCAGGGTCTACTACAAGTAGACAAAGCATAAAGCACTGGCCGAATCACGCCAACTACCGCCCTCCTCACCGCCCACACAGCAGAACCTAACGAACCTCGCAGCAGGAAATCCGGCTCTCCCCACATTCCAGGCCCAAAAAACGACGATCCGGAAAACTGTTCAATTTAGGCGGTGGCAGGAAACAAGGTACCTGCGGGCGCGCGGGCGGTGGTGGCTCAGCAAAAAGCGACCTGGGAAACTGTTCAATGGCAGAAAACACCCCCCCCCCTCCCCCGGGGGGGGGGGGTGTTACCGCCTACCTGACCGCCGTAACCCAGCAGAAGCTAACGAACCTCGCAGCGACAGATTCCCAGAATCTCTGGAAATGCAGAAAACCAATCTCCAAAAAACGACCGAGCAGAGTGGTTAATTTGGGCGGTGGCAGAATTGTCCTGCTAAAGCGGCAACCTATGGGTCTGCCTGCCGGGCACCAAGCGGGCGTAGGGGTCCGCCGCATGCTTCACCGCCTATGCCTACCTGTTGTGGCAGAATTTATCCGTCGGAGGGGCTATCTACTGTCGCTTTGTGGGGCATGCATACTGGATCTGGACATGTTACTATGTAGAATCTGCTGGAGGGTCCGCTACTGTTTGGGAATTTCCGGCGCTCAGAACTGGGGACTATGAGGACTCTAGCGGTGCTTTAGCAGATCTATGTCTTGATCCTTTGATATACTTTTTTACTGATTGGTAGTAATGGCGTGCAATGCAAGATTCGTAGTTGCATCTATGGATCCTCGGATCCGAGGCCTCAGTGGCTTTGTTCGGTGTATCATTCATTTTGATTCCTCAATGCCTTCTTCCAAGGCCAAAAACGAATCTACTGCCATCGATCTGCATCCTTAAACCACAGGTTCCTTCCTCTTCTTTCTCAGAAACTCCTCCTGCTCTTTCTGACTCTCTTTCAAATCAAGGAAGAAAGCCAGCCCCGCGAAGCTGGCCAAACTCAACGCAAACAGGAAATAGAATGGCGTGGAGTTATTCCCACTCGGCGAGGCATCGATGATGGCGCTCGACACCAGCGGTCCGATAAAGGAGGAGGTCTTGCCGATGATGCTGAACAGACTAAAGAAGAGGAACTCGTGGCCCCGCGGGGTGACTTCGGAGATCATGATCATGGAGTAGCTGTACCACGGGCAAACAAGCAACCCGTAGTAGACTTGATATACCTAATCCCGGAGACCTTGGTCAGAAAGTGTATGGGCGGGACCTCGACAGGGCGGAGAATGTACTTACCCAGATTTCCCAGAGATGGTGGAATCCGAATTTCTGCGTCCAGATGCCAATCATGCCCCAGCCGTCGAGGAGAATAATGGCGATGGCAACAATGTTGAACATGGTTTTGGTGGTCAGGTCGAAGCGTCGCTGGAAATACCAGAATGTATAAATGCCGACGGCCTGGATATGTTGTTAAGATTCCAGGTGGCCCCAGCATGTACGCACGATATAAGGAATTACGAACCTGGGCGGCGATACCAGCCAGCAAGACATATGTCAGTTCAAGGGAATTATACGACACAATGTTGTTTTGCAAGGTGGAGATAACGGTCACGGTGGTGTTCAATGAGTCGCCGAGGAGGAAGTAACCTAGGAGTGCACTGCAGTTAGTCCAGGCACCTTCACTTCAGAGATGCAGGTAGACATACCAACGAGATAAATCAGGCTCTGCTTCAACGTCCAGATATCCTTCAGCGCACGGACAAGCTGCTTCAATCCAGCAACAATGATATTGTTTCCCTCCGGATCCTGTCCCGGCCGACGCTTCTCCAGCACGAACCATGGTATCGACACCAGCAGCCAAACGCCACTGGCGAAGGCGATCAGAACGCTCAACCCCCAGTTGTTGTTCGCTTCGCTCGCATTGACATGCAAGGCGAACATGATGCCCACAATGATGGCGAGGATGACCAGCTCACTGACCGACTGCACGTAGAAGGCCACATTGGACAGCTGGGTGCGCTTCATCGAGTCCGCATGATCGTACTCCTCCCTCGAGATGCGGCCCGCGGAATATTCATCCGCCGCATCGCGCATCTCGATCGTGTTCCTGGCGAGGCCCGGGAACGCCGCCGTCCAGAAGGTGAGGGTCGTCTGGTACGCGATCAGCCCGACGATGTACAACCCCACGCCGACGCTCCATTTGTCCGCCTCGTGGACCCCCAGCCACGCAAAGCCGATCGCCCACGCGATGATCGACAGCACGATCAAGATGTTCGGCCGCCAGTTCCCGAAGTCGGCGAAACTGCCAATAACCAAGAATACGACCACCTGGATCGCAAACGAGATGCCGTTGCAGAGGAGGACGATACTATTGACCGACCGCTGGCGGCCGGCGAAATTCAACGTTCCCTGATCGCCTGCGGCTTGCGATAAGAGATTCTGGAACGCCGTTGGGGCAAAGTCTGCAATTGTGAATTGCTGTTAGCCTGACGACTCGAGAGTGATCTTTTTTCTTGCCGATGAT